AATATTCGGTTAACGCGAACTCTGCCACAGACATATATTGGTCAGTATATCCTAAGTATTGAGGAAAGCGAGCCAACCCTTATTTTAGGTAGACAGTATTAGAGGTTGCGCCAAACAGCCCATATTTTAATATAACATAATTGCTATACATGAAATAATTGCTATACTTTTAATGACGGTCTGGCTAAGATTCCTGATCTAAAAGCTTTAGCAGAGATATTATTCTCTGACAAGAGTCCAATTCTGTTGAACAAATCAACCAACTGGTGTAAAGTTGTTATTACACACTACAACTGTTGCCTTTTGCATGCAAAGAGCGGTTTAATCTTGTTGGCCTGGAAGTAAGCGAAATATATCAACTGTGCAAAAGCATAAAGTCTAGTGAAAACCGTAAAAAGTGTTCCCTTGCTGAGACTTCATCTTTTTTTTGTTCTCTTCCTTACTCTGCCTCTTAACCCAAATCCTCTTCTGACCTGCTAGAGTTTTCTTTTCCCTTGACTGAAATATTCTCTTCTGGCAGAACAATTCAAATAAGACAAAGTGTCCGTGGATACACAAAGTCTTCAGAGCTTGTCCTTTTGCACGTTGGCTCCTCGTCGGCAGCCTACTGCTTGCATTGGATGCAAATTGGGTATTAAAAGAGGGGAGAGAAACATGAGATAGCGTGTCAGGGACTGGCTGAGAAGAGGGAAAGAGTGCGAAGGTTAGAGTGAGAGGCTTAATGCGAGGAGAGAATGCAAATGCTGTTGAGACAGGGATGGATGGATGGATGGAGGGGAGCTGGATGGATGGTTGGATTAAAAGGAGAAAAGGAGACGAGGGTCAGGTGACAGTGTGACTTTTTGGCAGGGTCAGAGCTTTTCTCCGGACGACACGACGGAGCTGGATTTGCATTGATGGATCTTTTTTCCATGGGAATGTCATGTATCAGTGCTTGGGCACATCACGCCCCGGTCATTAATCAAATCATGGCCTCCGTCGAGGGCTATCTGTCTGTCTGACGGACTCTTTTCATCTGTCTCCCTCCCTCTCTTTGTAGTATCCTTGGTCAGCCCTTTTCCTTTCTGACTTACTTCTTACTTGTTTCTATTTATTGAAACTAATGCCTTAGCACTGGCTTAGAACATAGAACAAATCTGTACAGTTACATTTAAAAAAGAGGATTTCTATACCATAAGCGTCTTTGAGTTTCCTGAAAAGCGCTATACAAGTCTCATGTATTATTATTATTATTATTTATTATAAATACTTGTTGTAGAACAAGGAAAAGTAATTTCTGCAGTAATGTAGTATCATTGATAGGCACAGGTAGTAATTATGGTACAGGCCAAATATAGACTGGTTATACACTTGGCAGACATTCCTTACATTTCAGAATGATTTTAAATCACAACTTAATTTAAAAATCCTTAAACTATTTCTAAGTGTAAAAGTATGTAAGGCAAGGCACATTCATTAATATAGCACAAACTAAAACAATCTAAACAAGAAAGGTCAAAAATCAAAATACAAGAATGAAACAGAATTTTCGAATAATTTCTTTTTTTGATTTAATAAAAAGCAATAATGTAAACACACATTTACAAAAAGCATATGTAGTCTTCATTCTGATATTTGTTTTAACCTTTCTAAAATGATGGACATGATTTCCACTCCCATTCTTTGACATTAGTAGAGGTAAACACTCCCTTTATCATTTGTTAGCATACCTTTACTCAATTTGTCTACAAGCCACCACATACACAGACACACACACTTCACTGCTGCCTGTCTCTCAGACATCCAAGCTGTCTTCCCATGTATCATCTTCTGGCCGTCCGTGATCTCAAACACGTTCCACATGAAGTCGTCTTCACTGGGGGGGGTTATGACAGTTGAGGAGCACTTTGCCTTGAGTGACAACACGGCATGATCATCAACTCCCGCATCTGTTCTAGAACCCACAGTGAGGCTTATTTTTTAAGGGTGGGGGATTACCGCGTATAAAGCAGTGAAGCTAAAGTCCTTTTTTGAATGACGATGCTAAATTCGTCAACACCCCCACCCCCAAATCCCAACCCTCCACTCCCTTCTTTGCTGAAGCACCATTATGGCTATTCAGGCTGCTTCCTACAGGAAGCAGCCTGAATAGCCATAATGGTGCTTCAGCAAAGAAGGGAGTGGAGGGTTGGGATTTGGGGGTGGGGGTGTTGACGAATTTAGCATCGTCATTCANTCTCCTTCAGCCTCTGCTGTTGCCAATGGAGATCCACATATCCTGTAATACAAAACCTTCTCTCCCATCAAAACATGAACTATTTCTTCTTCCCATCAAACCACTCAGCCCTTCTGTCCTCCACTGCTTCATCCTGAGCTTTTAACACACACACACACACACACACACACACACACACACACACACACACACACACGATACAAAGACACACATCTCAAATCAAATGCAGCTCAAGCTAAACATAATCAGACCATGTCGAAGGTCTAATGAATGTAACCAGGTATATAGGGAGGGAGGCTGCTAGCTTGTGACACTCATTATTTAACCAAAGACATACAGTTAGCCTCCATCTTACTGGGTAACACTCCTTTCACATTTGTGAGTAAGGCAGGCTGAGATAATCTCTGGTACGAAAAGTCATGCAATTGTGTGCATGTAAAATAAACACATGATTTGTTTTTTATTTCAAACAAAAAAGCCAAAGCATATTTCATTGTGTAAGATAACATGTGGCAAGAAATGTTTATATTGTACAATAACCAATATTATTTTATAAATCCATTAAAAGAGTTCTAAAGCAGCCCACAGTATTACTGTGGGCAAAATCCTGGTAACATCTCAATTGTAGCCAGGTTTTATGAGAAATTGATTCCTGCATTATGATACATTATGTCAGGAAAATGCTAATTATTAAGTTGAAATATGGTTCATATTTTTGAATGGAACTTGTTTCTGTTATCGGACTCAGTTTCTCATGTTGCTGTTATTTATATACATCATTTCTATAAGCTCAGTTCCATTTACCTCTTTTGTAAAGGGACACACATCCCTAAAGCTTATTTCTAAACCTTGAGAGAAAAAAAACTGCATGGCAACATACCACCAGGGCCAAGTACAACACTATGGGTTTGTATTGTCACGTTGGTACAATGGGAAAAGAAACAGTCACATAGAAACAGTAAGAAAGAAACATTACACTATAGGGGGAAAATAAATGTGGATAATAAAACAAATATGCCCCCGTAATCCTGTGACAAAGCCACGACAAATACAAGAGACCCTGCTGATTCAATGTGCAGCAAAAAAAAAAATCCAAGTTCAAGTGCTTTCAAAAGAAATAAAGAGCTAACCACAATACGCTCTCTGAATGTTTTCCTTGTTCCATTTGTTGCCTTAATAGATGAGTGACAGCCACGCAATATAAAGGACTGAAAAGGAGGAAGGGGGGGACGCGAAGACAAAGAAAACAAGGCGGACATCAAAGGTTACAATAAAGGTATAGGAGGAGAGTGCCTCGTCTTTATTTGGAAAGGAGCGATCAAGAGGAGGCTGAATGCGAGCGGAAAGGGACTGCTGAGTGTTTTGGACCAGTCTTTTAGATCATTAACGTGTAGCTCTGAGATTCATTAGTCCTGCCAAACCTCCGCGTTGTGGGCCTCTAAAGGGCCGTCCTTCAGACCTCCGCTGGCCCACAATGCCGCATGACCTTCAGAGGCGGAGAGGAGACCATTACACAAACTTGTCCTTCATTTCCTTCTGCTCCTCTATTGGTAAGACTAACAGAGGTCTGTACCGGGACCGATCCTGAAAGTCCTCCAGATTTCAAAAGCTACACCCCGAGAGCTTGGGCAGCCACCTTTTGTGTTGAGGTTTGGAGAGGGG